TAAGGACAGCAGATGGGGCGTATACGCAGCGTAGGCTAGGCTATTGCTGAGAATAAAATGCACACGGAGATAATTGTTAGCTGCGGTCCGACACGCCGGGGAGAAAGAGTGTAAACGACTGAGGCTCGCATGCGTCACCGCTACTAGAACTGAGGCAGAATGAGTGACAAGCGATTGCAGTGGTAATTGGTAGTGAGTAGGTAAGAGGATGTGCGTAGAGTATCATGAGTTGGCTCTATGGTCACTTTGCATTCTGCAAGAGTCATTCTAGCAAGTGGCGATTGTGTTGCAAGATGTCAAGAGGAGGTCTCTGTCTGGAGGCGCAGGTCGTCAGCGATGTGTGAGATTGTGCTGTGGGTATGCTTGTGGTGTGTTGGCTTTTCTGTTTGTTTTCCATTTCAGCTCTGTCCGTGTGACCCAGGTTCTCGCAATGGCATCCAAGTCAACGTGTATTGGTCGTGAAGGAAAAAAGGGTTGGATCCCTTTTTTGCCGGGGAGTGTCAATGGAGTTGAAGATTGAACGATCAATTCTTGGTTGTTTGCTCAAAGTCAACTTCCCCAATTTTCGCGGAGGCATCAATACGACAGTCATCGTCTCATAGGTCGCTGTTCAGAAAGAAGAGTGAAACATCGTCAGAAGTAATACAATGATTTATTATTGTAATATTTGTTTTCAGAAACCTTAGTTTACTTAGTTCGCTTATTCCTTTTATATGTTGGTGTAACAATAAACAAATATCAAGCGGCCAATCGGTGTTTTGGTTTTTGCGTCCGTTATAACTAAGCGTTTCTGAAATCTTCGAAGAGCAGCGTGGGCCCGAGCGTAGCGAGAGCTGGGCATTAACGGTTTATGAGAAGTGATTGACATATGTTTTTTTGCTTCACGTTCCCAGTGGAACGTAGGGCCTCAAGCTAGCGGCTTGAAGTTTCTGTAGCAGTGTTTAATTTTACAGCATTGGGTTACAGGCCTCACGCCCAAGCTTTCCTCTTTACAAGCATTATTTCTGGCTTAGAGAGGTAAAGGAGTGCATTGGCCGAGGATTTAACCCGGACTATGTGCATGGTTGGCATGCGTCCTAACCACTGTGCCACCGACGCACTATTTAAATATGCTTACCAACTATATATGTAATTTATCTATCATATTGATGTTGCCTGTAAACTGGCGTCCCTCAGGTACAAAGTTGAGAATATATTACTATTATGTGGGGCGAAGTATGTCAGCTGTACACAACGTCAAGTCCATAGACGTATTCTGGATGATTGTGCAGCTTGGTTAGTCGGATGAGAAAAGAATAGTACTAGCTCCATCCTCAAAACCCTTAAGTGGGTACGTAGGAGGATCGCTTTTACTTCTAGAGTGATACTGGACAGAGTGACGTCTCCGACTTCTACGTGACTTCATAACAGACAAAAACCAACCACCTTGGTAAAAAAGAGAAACTACTCAAAAACCAAGGAGTTAAAGAAAGAATTTTCTATCAATATAAGCACATAAAATTAGCTTACTTTTTCGGATAGGTCATCATGCATGCACTTCAGGAAGTATACACAAATAATGTTTCTGTATTTATCACATATTTGCTGTATGCGTGTCAGTAACTTTAAACTCTTTTCTGTGACTTGATTATATGAAGTTTATATACAACAGTAAGTAGCGCAAATATGTTTCCTACCGCACGTTCTGAATAGCACAAAACACTGAAAATTTCCATCGCGGACCATATTTACCCAGTAAAAACAGTGATGAAGTACCATTTATTGATGACTACTTGGAAGAGGTCTACATTGAATCCAATAACACCAATGTCGGTATACCAATCCATTACCTGAAAGAACTGTTACTTCGATGCACCTTCAACGTATACTTTAGTTTCAACAAAGAAATATACAGGCAAGTAGATGGAGTAGCAATGGGTTCTCCCTTAGGACCTCTTCTAGCCGACTGCTTTATGGCTAGCTTAGAGAACAACGCCTTATCAACAACTATCAACGACCTCCATCTTTACAAGAGACACATCGATGATACTTTCATTATTTGTGATTTAAAAAACCTACTTCAAATCTTCAATAATGCCCAACCAAACATCGACTTCACACTTGAGACTGAATCCGACGGAATGTTCCACTTCCTCGACGTCCATCTGATAAGAAACGCCGACAACTCTCTGAAAAGGTCCATTTACAAAAAGCCTACATGGAATGGACAATTCATCAAATTTAAAGGCTTCGTGCCCCTGAGCAGAAAGAGGAACCTGATATACGCTCTTTCCTCGAGGATTCGGAAGATATGCAGCAAGGAAGTGGTTGAAGACGAACTGCGTAATCTTCGAAAAACCCTGATGGAAAACGGTTTCTCGCCCAGGTTCATAGACAAGAATCTCGAACCTAAGAAGACTTCTGAACAAATCCGATCCGTTCCAAAGAAAATGCTCCTGCTTAATCTAGAATTCAAAGGTGATATTGAAGCAGAAATCCTTCGCAGACGCCTCTCAAAATCGCTGAGGAAAACATACTTCGCCGCTAGCCTACGACTGACGTTTTCTTGCAAGAAACTGTTCAGCCAGAACGCAAAAGACAAGCTGTCGCATTGGGCCACCTCAACGTGCATATACGAGTTTACTTGCTCTTGTGGAGCTGAGTACGTTGGCCGTACCATGCGCCGACTTGAAAAACGCTCTCGTGAACACTATCCAGCCTGGCTAGTAAAAGGAGAACGAAAACGGGTAAATAGTTCGGTGACAGAACATCTGGTGAATTCAGGACATTCAGCGCCACTCGAAAAATCCTTCAAAATCATTTACAAGATTCGATCAAACCTATCAAAGGGAGTAAAATCAAGACATCTGGGCATAGCCGAGGCGCTAGCTATACAAAAGCTCAAACCCACGCTTTGTATACAAAAGAAATACGTCCAACCCCTGTCCTTGCCATGGCCATCATAAACAGGTAATTTTTAGTAATCACCATCCCATCGCCTTTCTTATCTAAACTTCCTGTTTCAAGTTTTTCTTAATCCCTGTTTACACTACCATATTTTCATACCCGAACTTAGTGTTTATTTTGTCATTTTACTATTTCTGCATATTTAATCCCCGATTGCATAAACAATTATTCATCACATTAGTTTTTAGCCAAACATCCTGTCTGTTTTGTTACTTCTACTTTTCTAACCCCTAATTGCACAATGTCAATCTTCTTAGTTATTATGATGCTACTTTGGTTGTTTTATCCATCCCCCTGTTTATTATGGCATTCTAATTCCCAATTTTAATTTTTATTAATTTGACCCTTGACCGGATATTATTCTGGAACTTTCCCATCCATTTGATATAAATACACGAATGTACAGCCTAGATGACAATTTTAATAATCGACACAGGTTTGAAACCCAGAAATGGGTTAATCGAAGAATGTGTGTCGCTGGAGGTTATCGCGGCGAACCACTTATTAACTTGGAGACTGCTGAAGGTTTTCGTAACCCACTCATTGAAATGTTAGTTGATATAGTGTTTAATGACATGGGAATATTCTTGCAACCTGATTCACAATCAGATTTCTAAGAAACGTTTAGGCTTGAAATAAGTCTAGATGTGTTATTTAGGTATCTACAGACTTCCTCCGGAAAATTCGTCACAGTGAATCTACTTATGTTCTTCGACTTACAATCTTAAAATTTCTGACATCATTGTGGCAGTTCTTCTCTTAATTTTAAGATGAAACTGGCCCGCATTACGACAGTCAATGATCTGAAATGTGATAGAAAGATTGTTGAACAATCATAACAGGTATTCATTAGACATTACTCTAAGGTGCTTGGCTTTACATTTAAGATTTTACAGCCAATAATAATGAATTGGTGCGTCAGAATTGTTTCCGATAAGAAATGCTCGTACAATCTGGGTTAAATCCACTTGTGACGAAGAATATGGTGGCAAATCCCACTTTCTTCGAGCAGAAGAAAAGATGAACCACTCAAGAGCGATATTTTCATAAATTATACTTCTTAAAAATAATATACAAACTTTAGTTTCTCAATTACGAAACTGCTTTTCAGCCGAAATAATTACCCAAGTGATATGTATCCACATAATATGTGTGTTTGTTTTTGACAGTTTGTTATATTTCGCTATGTATACGTAAGTCAATATTCCATTATAATTGACAATATGTTTTGTCTGTCCGTTAACTAAACAATCATGCCTGACCTTGTTGTCACAAGACATTACAACCAATCATGTTTAGACTGTCTTTTGATTCGTTCATTTTTGAACATTTGCTCATACACTTGTGTGACATTGATTTTCCTGGTTTGAAATACACGAGTATGATCGTGAACCTGGTGGTTTTCTGATTTCTACCTTCTTGCGTCAGGACTATTAATTACTCGACCAGTACATAACACCAAGTTACCGACCGACAGAGTGTTTACTGTAGAAAATGATTGGTATTTGAAACCCTTGCTTTCCGCAATGCGGCATAGGGTAAGTGAGGCAGAGAGGACCTAGGCAAATGGACAGGGAGATATTCATCACTTTATAAACAAAGGAAGTCTCCAAAACCATGGAGAAGATATGGCTCTCAGTTGGATGATCGTCCTATCCTTCTGAATTCCTCCCCAGCTATCTACTTCTAAGCGAACACAGAATACTGCTTTTTAAAGGCCCTACAGCAACCTCTCCCTACAGATGAGTTCCCTAGGAATGTCTATTCGACTCACTCATCTTTCCATCGAATTCACTTAGAGGCCATGGCTTCAGTTAACGAATCGTTACCTTGAATCACTCCAACATGAAGATGCCGAAAATATGTAGCTTATCTATATGGAAATGGTTAAGGTTGTTCACCCACTATTATACAAAGAAAGGCAATAATGCCGTTTGTCAACTCAGTTCACTGCTAACCTTCCCTGTGGAAATTGCCATACCAGACTGTTGACGGCTGTTTCATTTCTCAAGCACCCGGTAGTCGAAATCCGCAAACAAATTTTTCTCTCAAGAATGCGCTCAGTTAAAATCAGTCAGCAGGGCTTCCTTAATAAGTCAGCTGAAGCCCATAAAGTTGTAAACACTTATATTTTTGGTTGTAAGTTCATCCAGATTACACTTCGTGATTGTGGTAAGTGAAGATGCCTGACCAGTCATATTAGTGATGAACTCTTACTCCTATTCATAGAACTGGTGGCGTACTTCATAAAACCTGACAAGAATAACATGCTAATTCATGCAAAGCAAATTTATACAGAAGAATTCATTGTAAGCTTTTTTCCTTATTGTCTACAATCTACCTATCACAGACAAGAGTTTCTGTTAATGAGAATAAATACCATAGTTTATATTTCACTACGCTCATTAATTATTTATCAGGCGGTTCGAATCGATTCCAATATTCAAAAGCTAGTAGCAGTATGAATCCTACATAAACTGAATTTATGTGCTTCAAATAGTAACATGTTCATGCTTGTACAGTCGGTATGTACCTACACATACAAGAATCCATGTATTATTGCAAGTTTTCAGTAAGAACAGAACCAGACTTGAGACAACGAGTAAAATAATGCGCAGCTCAAAATAGCTTATTGCATACCTGCTACTAAGTAGTCACTACGACTGTGTGATAACCAAATGAAGTCTTATAATAATAATACATATTCTCATTTTTGTACATGAGGGACGCCAGTTTACAGGCATCATCAATTCCATAAATCCGATAAGATTAATAAGCATATTTAGTAAAGATAATATAAAAAGTCACATATTTTTTCCTAGCCATGTAGGATACACCAATTGTATAGGCATGCATAAATATTGTTTTAATAATAATATATTTCTTCCTAATCATGCAGGAACATACCAATTGTACAGGCATGGATAAGTTGTTATATCAATCACACATAATTTGATGTATAATGAATTTACAGTTTGGTTGTTCTTTCTGACATTAGGGTCAGTCGGAACAGTCTACCATAAAGTCTTTTTTTGTGGCACATAAAGAGATATAGAAATATTGTCTTCGCATTAACAAAAGACCCAGACACCACATGAATGTAATACAGATATCTGGGAAAAAAAAACTTGAAGTCAACTCTCCTATATAACTTTGTTGTGAACAACAATGTTATGCAGCATTAATACAAGTGGACCCAGTTTATTTTTCTGAGGGTGTATTACTTATGGAATACTCTGCTGACTGAAGTGATCACCGCCGTGTCAGTAGGTGCCTTCTTCGGCGGGAAAATATGCGAAAACTGGAGGTTACGTATATGGGCCCAAGGTTATGCTCCGAGAGACTTCATTGGAATTATGACTTTGCCCTTCATATTCTGTCCACCTGGCGTTGGCTCTATATTTTCACATAATTTCACTTTTTCCAACCATTTTATGTATAATCTTTCATTTCTGTCTTATGTTTGGTTATTCGCTTCCATTATTCCAACTTTCTAACAATTTAGAGCGTGTTTTGGGGAATTGTTTGACTGAAAAATGAGTGCGAACATTGAAACTCTCTTGAAATAAATCAAGGATCACGAAACACGCAAACTCCTCCATGTGCTGCACCCAGCAGAGTTAAAGCATTTACGAATCAGCTGAACGATTCATAAAATCTCATCACAGAGACCCTTTATGCTGAATCACATAAAAATCCGCACTGAGTCATATGAAAAATTGAAGACGTTCAGCGAAGAGACTCCTTTCGGCGAATTCATTCACATAGCTGTACAACCGCTTTTATATAATTATTTTTTTTGCGTGTGTACGTGGGGTTAATTAGGCAGCAACTAAAGAAAGATCGAGTCAAATAAATAAATAAATTTATTCTCATAGTACATGAGGGACGCCAGTTTACAGGCATCATCAACTTGTTACAGAAATAGAACCATATTATTCAGTCACAATTTACAGGTGGTAGCAAGATATGTTTTACATGTACGCTGGAGATTGTACATAAACTTGATAAATGTTAATCTCAATAGCATAAAAAATATCTTTTTCACTTATCTATAATCATTTCTGTGCACAAGTAAGTTAGATGACGTAATATAGTTGATTAAAATGTTTCAGCTTAGGTCAGGATAGCAACAGAGGTAATTACAGGTAGAGACTAAGTAGAGATGGGGCAGAGAATTTAGGACTAAAAGTGAGCAGATTAATTGGATGATTTAACATAAATGACTAGAAATCGAGCGTTGGTCAGTGGTAATGAAGTGTAGAAATTAAATCGGGTTGGAAAAGAAAACAGGAAGTTGCAAATGTAAAATATTACAATTGTAAAGACAAAATAATATTAGTGAAGAGACAGAAAGAAATCTGTCTTAATACTCGACAGACAAATTCTATTACTTTCTGTCTCTTCATTAGTATGATTTTGTCCTTACATTTGTAATATTTTACATTTGCAACTTCCTGTTCTCTTTTCCAACCCGATTTAATTTCTACTCTTCATTACCACTGGTACTGCTCTGAACAACTCTCAATTTCTAGTCGTTTATGTTGCGTCATCCAATTAGTCTGCTCACAGTCCTAATTAAATGGCATTATCCATCATACGTATTTTAAGTGAATATATACTTGACCCATATGGCTGCCTCGGAATTGTATCACACAAATCAACTGTGGAATTTCCGTAATCCTTACTTGTTAGTCTGAGTTTAAAAACTAATCCGTTTACACTTTTCTAATATAAATGCCAAGAAAATGTCCTACCTGATCAATCCAAAATCAGGAGTATAGATATGTTTGTCTTACGGTATACAAGTAAACTGAATTGTATGAACCGATGATTATGAAAAGCGAAGGTTTTGACTGTGATCTTCACAGCACTGATTACAAAAATTACTGAACCTACTGAAAGCTTGGGGGAATTTCAATGTGTCAGATGTCAAGGTCAAGGCGAGTATATATATATATCTAGGGTTTGTTTGTTCAGATCATTTTATTCTTTTACTTCCATAGTGAGACGTCGGGCTACAAGTTAGATCCTTGAAGTATCGGTAGCAGTGGTGTTTATTTACAGGGTACGGGGTTGTTAGTGCCAAGCCTAACCTTACCCAGCTAGCATTTTTTTCGGGCGCATTGCAGCTTTTTGGGGCAGACTTCGGGCGCACTGCAGACCTTTGGACAGACTTAGGCAAATTGCTGACTTTTAGGGACAGACTTAGGGCAAATTGAAGACTTTTTGGGGCAGACTTCTGAACATTGTCCCACGTAAGTAGATCTACCCGAAGTTTTTGCCCCAAAAGGTCTGCAGTGCGCCCGAAAAAATGCTAGCTGGGTTACTTCGGCAATTTTAAGATTTAAACACTAGTAAGTAACAACTGAAACGCATCAACTACATGATAAAGGCAATTTCGCGTTTAAAATACGTATATACGTGAAAATAATGGCAAGGTTAAACTATCACAGCCAAAACCATAGTAAACCTATGGGACCCTGCCAAGGGAGTGGAAAAGAGCCATCCTTTCTCCAATCTTCAAGGGTGGGGACAGGCAAAACGCTGCTAGCTATAGACCAGTAGCTCTACTCCCAGTGGTATCAAAAGTACTGGAAAGTATTATTGACGACCACATCAGGGAATATTTCGATAGGACTAATATACTACATGAAGCCCAACATGGTTTCAGAAAAGGCAGATCCTGCGTCACTAACCTACTGTCAGCTTGGGACGACTGGACATCATGCTGGGACTTGAACGTACCAGTCCATGTGGTCTTCCTAGACTTTGAGAAGGCATTTGACACTGTTCACCATGACCTTCTCCTACATAAAATAAACCAGGCAGGCATAGGTGAGCCACTTCTGTCATGGTTGAAGGACTACCTAGCCGACAGGCAATTTTGCACTAAGGTTAACCGAGTCCGATCATCTTGGCACAGATCGTCATCAGGAGTGTCGCAGGGTTCTATCCTAGGACCACTGATGTTTTTGATTTTCATCAATGATCTACCACGCCGTCTGAGCTGCCCGACTCTCCTGTACGCTGACGACGTAAAAATATGGAGGGCGATAAAGTGTCCGGAGGACTCAGATAGGCTACAGGAAGACCTAAACCTTCTGGAAGACTGGGCGGTGGCCAGTGGCATGACTTTCAACTTGAAAAAGTGCAAAGTAGTGAAGTTGCGCACCTGTAGACTGCAGAATGCAAGTTACACCCTGTGCAATGAAAGCTTGTCCTGCACAACGTCGGAACGCGACTTAGGTCTAGTTCTAACGGAAAAAATGGACACAAGCGTAAATTACACAGGGGATGTAGCGAGGGCATATGCGGTCATACACTTTACGCATAGACAGTTAGGTGCACTCACTCCTGAGCTCTTTCTAATGTTGTACAAAACATACGTCAGGCCACACCTTGAGGTGCATAATATTATTGCACCCCCAATGCTGAGAAGAGATGCCAACCTCTTGGAAAGAGTCCAACGACGGGCAACAAAAGGAGTGGTTGGTCTCCGAAACAAACCATATGATGAAAGGCTGAAGAAATTAGGCCTGTTCACACTTAGTTACCGTCGGCTTAGGGGGGATTTGATTACTGCCTACAAAATAACAAATGACCAGAATCACCCAAACAAAGGTGTTCTGCCATTGAGTAGGTATAGGCTTCCACGTGGAAATCCCAGAAGGATAGCTCACCAGAGGGCAAGGACCCGGGTGCGCTCCCACTTCTTTTCACTGCGGGTTTGTCGTCCCTGGAATTCCTTACCGGCAGATGTAGCTATGGCACCGTCTTTGGACGCCTTTAAGCGAAGGCTGGACAACCATGCAGCGATACAAGGACTGCATCCAAATGGCCTATCTCCTTAAAATCGCATTTACCAATCAGGGTAGATAATTAAACTCGTCATTTTACTTCTTTACATTCTCTCCCGTCTTACTCTCCTGACAACTTATTAATATTATAATTACTATTATTATTATTACTATTACCGATATATATATTATTCTTCAAACTCAATGAGCTGACTGTTGTTACGTTTCCTATTTTCGTTTCTGTCTCTTAGTCTGAATAGCTTCACTAATTATATCTATTATTATTACTATTATTATTATTATTACTATCTCTTTTCTCTTGTCGACAATACCGAAGGACTAACTGGCGAAAGGATCAACTCCAATCACAGTAGTAACAGTCTTAACATACCTCATACTACAAACCACATATAATTAATCCCAGCACTACTCCCTTTGGAGTCAACCAAAGCTACGACAGTCGAGTGGCGGGACAAGCTACGCAGAAGTTTACCGAAGATCAAGAACCTATACCTCACAATCAAGAAGCGAGCACAAAGAAATCAAATTGGTTTATACTAGCTCGTAAAAACGATATTGGATATTGGAAACCTGAACAACTAATTAGTCTTATTATAATGACACTTCAAGTGTGAAGGTTGTAAATTGCGCTGAAGCACGTTGCGAACTTAGTATTATGCTCTATAGTTGTCTCTTATGTGTTGTAAAAATGTGTGCCAGTCAATGCACAGATGATCTATAGGGAAATCATTTTATGCGTAATAGATGCATGCATCCGGGTGACTGTTCCGATCGAACAAAAAGGTGACATTCCTGGGGAAAGGCAAACCTGCGTAGTTCATGGTACTTTGAAATGTATTGGTATTTCCGACATGTTTTTAAGACCTACTCCCAACTCCTAGGCCTATCTTTAACCTTACACCATATACGTCAATAAACCGTAATCTAAAAATCTATAACTATATCTAACAGTATAGGTTTCGGAACAAGTACCTAGGGAGTAAATGAAATACCGTATCTTCCTCCTCCAAATCCAAAAAGACAGTCTTGATTTGATTTGAAATGTCATATCATAGCATTCCCTATATCTGACTGGTTCTTGAAGGTTAGCTTTCGAAAGACATTGGCTTTAATTATAATACTTTAACTTCGCCAAAAAGAATGGACTAGAAGACATGGAGCCTAAAATATCCTGTTGGCTCTAAATTAAAGCAGCCTAAAACGAGACTACCTAATGAACGGATTGGTGAGCTTAAAGAATTTATGCACAGAAATTGGTTTAACTTGACTATGAGAGGTCTTGTGGGAGGTTTTCTTGGAATTTTTCTCTATGCGACAATTTTTTAACATTGCATTGCTTGTGAAAAGACGTTTATTTCAAATTACGCACTTCCACTTCTGACGCATCTCATTGGTAACTAGTGTGACGTGCCTAGTCCTTTCTTTGGTCCAGACTGAATTCTAGCAGTCAGGTTTGCAATGCGGCCACCATTCCAGATGGCTCGCCATCATGGGCTACATTAATTTGATGATATTAGATGGTTGGAAGCAATCGGTGGGAAGCCTTGGACCTAGGTTTCGTGCTAGTCGGCACTCGTCAGCAAGGAGTCTGTCTGGATTCAACATAGAAGTTGGCACCGAGGTGCAGCGGTTCGAGTTGCCACGTTACAAATAGCACACAGAGGTAGACAAGAGGATGAGTGAAGAGAATCAATATAGTCTGACAAGTATAAGAGTGAAACAGAATGGGTAATGGTAGTAAGGGATATGAAAGATTACAGAGACTGAATACATCTGCGCTGGCCATTGACAACGATTTTGAGCCATGTCACCTATTGTCTCCAGCCATTGATTCCTAGAGTCAGTCCCGAGGGCTCCAACCCGGGAGTCTGCATCTCCCTACCTGACTCAGTTTAACTGTCAAGGATTTCATGGATTGATGAGGCCATGTTTTTGTTTGGCCACCACTGGCTCTTTTCCAACCTGAACCTATATCAGCTAGTAATGCCCGTCGGGGGAGGCGATGGTTAGGCATGCGCAGCAAGGAGTATCTGCGACGTTGAAGGAACTGATGTCCCTTCTGCGATTCGAACCCGTGTCAACCAGTGCTGCAGTCAGAGACATTAACACTGAGCTATTCTGGTTCGCGATTGACCTGTAGGACTGTATTGGATACTTTAATTGGACACCAGTAACTAGTGTCCATTTAATATCATCTGATTGGTCTCCAAAGGTGTTTACTAGGTGGCTGCGTTTAGGGCTGGTATAGTTTCGATTCACCCAAAACGCTTCATTGAGCATATTATATTCATGATCACAATGTCATTTGTCATTTTCCATTAACTTGCTCAGTAAGCATTTCAACGTCATTGTCACGGTCGCACTGCACTTGTAATTACTGTTGCTTAAAGTTTAACTTGGTCCATAGACGGTTGGTGGGCATTCTACCGCTGTGCCATCGACACATATAAACCGGAGTGAGTAGTAACTGCAGCTACTCTACCACTTTGAAACTTAAAGAAGGTTTGCAAGCGGAGTTTAATACTTGATGTCATTATTGGTGGTAAGGCTACAAAAATAAGACTTTTCAGATTTTGAAAAAAAGTGTGAGTCATTGGCTTAAAATACTAATTTTGCAGCAATGGAACCCAAGTGCAAACTCCCCTCTGAGACGAAAGATAACTGATAACCTAGTACACATGTTATTCCATCAGGCAATTTCGCTTATCATTAGTCCATTTGTATAGGAAAAAAAGGTACTCGGTATGTGTTTCAAATATCCACTTTTACAGTGAATTCAGTCACTAATATGTAGATTATCACAAATTCAAAATAAGCACGACACCTCGGCAAATAAACTTCAGTACTTTCAGTAATATATTGAATAGATGTAGTGCTAATTTGCCATCCGTTCAGCTAATGTTCTATCATAGACCAATTGATTTATTAGTTCGGAATGGTTACTTACTAGTGAGACAATCTCGGAAAAAGATGGCACTATAAATAGCTCACAGGATAGACGACTGGATCGTTGGAAAGAGCATTATGAGGAGCAGTTTAATTTTCCCACAGCCACGCTCAACCTTCCGAGCATCCAACACCTCCCTGAATGGGATACAAACACAGGTCCTCCGTCACTAACT